ATTCCTGACTTGGTGGCTAACACACTGAAGATGAAACAGCGTCTAAGTCTTCATCCACACGGACACGAGGCCGACTCTCACAGGGTTAAATACACTGTACCTAGAAAGCACAGCCTGGACCTCCCCCGAAACGTAGCTGTTCACCAAAAAGCTAAAGGCCGATCTACTCTTAACCTGAAGTTTCAGAAGTACAGGGTCAAACCAGGATGACTGTTCCACCCTCTCCCTAATTACACCTGCAGAAGTGTCCATTCTAGAACATTCTCTAAGACAGCCGTCTGGAGCCTAGAGGGTGCCCCACGCTAACAACCAGATGGTAACAAGCTGGAACTGACCTACCGCACTGGAAGAACGGAGATCGGCCGGCCTACAATAAGAGACGGTCTTTAAAGAGCAAAAGACTGTCGGATGACAGGTTCTGCAATTCCATGCTGACCTGAGGAAGAACTAGGACCAACCCGTGAAAGAGTAACTTTCAGCTTAACATGAACTTCTTAACATTTCCATCACTGAAAGAAAGACTGGGCTGCCTCGTCAATTCCCCTTCACAAGTTACTCAGGTATCAACAAACGGCAGTAACAAAATTAGCGGCAGTAACAAAATTAGCGTGACACAGCGTTAGCCAGAGGGTTTCCAAGGACTGACACAAACAATGATATGAACAATTAAAGTTTTTCTTTCCACTGGAGATGCAAAACACCTTTGAAAGCAGGTCCCCTATTGGGTCCTGCCTGCTTCCAGGAAAAATGGCACATTCCCCAGGGCCAGCAGGGGCCAGCAGGGGGTGCAGTGGCTAGGGCCTTGGACTCCCATGGGGTCTACCGCAGTTCAAAGGTGTTTTGTTTTTGGCGAACCCCATGTGTTGCCCACGCATGCCAATGGGGGGGGGGGGGTGACTTGAACTGAGCAAGGGGTGAATGTGCCCAAAATCCTGGGAGGGGAAGGAGGAAGGGGCTGTGGGGTGACTTCTGCTGCTCTCTGGGAGTGCACATGCCCTAGAGCAAAAGTCTCTCTGTGAAAAGAAGAAAATGCCACATTCCCCGTATTGGTCCTTCCAGAACTGCAGGAATGAAGGACAGCGTAGAACGGAACTGGAGAGGGACTTGACTTCAGCTTATCCGCGACTAGATTTGCCTCTACCCTCTGAAGGAGCATTTGAAGACCTGCCCTGTGACTATTAGAGAGGGAGCTGTAACCAGAGAGGGCTTACAAAAGCGGTTTTACAAACAAGTTAGCACATTTAGCTTTGAAACACATTCGAATACACTCAAAACAATTTTAAATTAAAACATTTTCGCAGACTCCCTCACACCATCACGGGCTGGAGGCCGGCAGGTGGCACGATGGTTAAAGGCGCTGGATTCCCACAGGGCTGGCCACGCACGGTTCACGACCGGGACCCGGCAGCTTGCCCTCCCTGTGTCCCTCTCTGTCCCTCTCTGGTCAAGTTAAAAAAAAATAATAACAAGTGGAGTTAAATAAATAAATACTTCTTTAAAATGAGAAAACTACCACGGGCTCCAGCACCTCCCACCAGAGCCTGTCCTGCGCCGCCCGGCTCTGCTTCTCGCTACTGCATC